TGACGTCAAGGGTCAGACAGCCGAAAAGAGAAAGAGCGAGCAATCAAGCTCATTAACGCAGAAATGAAACCTTAAAGTCTTCCTAGACCATAAGAAACCTTACGAGAGGATAAAAACATAAGATTGTGTGGTAATGTTGCATAGCCATCTTTAATAAATCAGCAAAAATGAGTCTTTATTAAAACGGCAGTGATCTCATTGGCATGCGGAGCACATCTCCCCAGCTCTATCCTCCAATTCATGGGCGCCGCTCATCCAGAGCGTTAGTGTAGATTCAGTGGGCCGGCACAGGAAAACGGTGTGAGGTATTTTTAGAGCATTCTTTCGAAAGAGGGGCAAAACACTTCACTTCCCTTCATCCTTTTAAAGTCCTCCTTTCCAAAAACACAAATGACAATTTCTGCATTCCTTAGCAACCGTCCCAAAAATAAACCCCCTCTTCTGATTGAAAAACAAAAAATCCTTTATGGCAAGAAAAAATTAACCCTTTATGGCAACAAGAATGCCATACAAGCAGGAGCATACAAAGGAACAGATCCAATCGGATAAGCACAGCTGCAGACTGAATGACAGCCAGTGAATGGATAATGACTCACGCAAATTGCCGTGTATTTGGTGTCAGCCATCTGCCAACGTGTTTGAAAATACCCTCAAATAGTAAAAAGTGAGGAGCTATGCTGTACAGTACTTTGATTCATTGATATTATGCAAGTGTTATGCATATGTATTATGCACTATAACCTTTCAGAGAGGCTGGGTTTCCACACATTTTGATGAGCACTGTGAAAAAATTGTACCTTTAGCTTTTCACAGAGGCAGTGCCCTCAAAGGCACACATTTGTATCATATTTATCCATGAAGCATGACTACTAGTTGCAATTGCTAACACAAACAATAGTTTTACAGCATTTATTAATGCTGTTTAATGCTACTTTCTATGTAATTCATTTTTAACATTTCAAGTTGTATAAATTTGCACCATTTAATGATTATAAACAAACATGAATTAACAATGAACATACACTCCCATTTAAAAGTTTGAGGTCGGTAAGATTTTTAATGTTTTTGAAAGAAATCTCTTATGCATTTAGCGTTTTTTCAGCATTTTCTGATGAATAGAAATTTCAAAAGAACAGCATTTATTTGACATTGAAGTCTTATAACATTATAAATGTCTTTACTGTCACTTTCGATCAAAGAAATGCATCCTTGCTGAATAAAAGTAATAATTTCTTAAAAAAAAAAAAATCGTACTGAACCAAAACCTTTGAACAGTAGTGTAGTAAAATTAACCACAGTAAATGTTGTCAAAGTGTCTTCTTCATTGTTAGTTCATCAGACTTCATGCATTTTTATGTATTTTTTTTTAATTATTACAACTCTTAATTATTTCTGGAGTGTTCTTGAAAGCATAAAATTAATATTTTTGAATGAATTTCTGCTGCCTTTTAGCTCAGGATAGTCTGTAGTGAAGGGTTTGGAGCTGTTTGTGTTCTCATAGAGCCATCTGTCATGGAGCAATCAGTGTTGTCCTGACATCATTTTAATGCGCTTCCAGAGTGACCAGTTACAGGGCAATTACACCACAGGTGATTGTCTCAAAAATGTACATCAGAACTGAAACGTGTACTTTTGGGTTCAAGTATTTTTACGTGACAGTGGGAAACCAGGCCCTTATTTTGAAGAAACTATTGTGCCTGACAGTTCTCAACACATTTATGCAAAAAAAAGAGACATATAGCACATAGTTTGAGCTCTGTAATCAGCGCAAGTATAATGCGTAAGCTCTCTTTATGTCCCAGATCAGGTTCACAGGTGTTCCTTCCCATAGTTCTTGTGCTTTGTGTAGCTATAAGAACCCTCTCTGGGCCCTGCACACCACACATGCTTGGCTCCAGCTCTGTTATCTAAGCGTCCACAGATGCAGCAGGAATATTTCATTAAGTGCTTTTGCTTTCTCAGGGTGAGGCGGCTGGGTATGCGCCTTGTAAACAGAGCAGGGAACAACAAAAGCGCTTTGCTTTAATGAGCTGGAGTGTGTACGTGTATTGTTGTACTGTACAATTTCAGTGCGAGCCGTGTGGAAACGCAGCCTCTCCGACACAAACGTGTGTATGGAAACACACGCTTAACAATGGAAAAAAGCTTCCTTCCACAACAACCACAATCATTATTGCCATCCGACAGCAGCCTAACGCAGTCAAGGTGCCTGAGCTGAATGGGCTGTTTGTTTAGCTTACCACATGGTTTCACTTGAGTGCTGTTGATTGCTCACTAGTTTGTACCGTTTCCTCTGTTCCCTAATTGCCTTCAATTACAATTAACATGCACCAGCTTTGTGACTGAAGCCCAACATGGACACATAAGGTCAAAACTGAAAGTTTAAGGCAATGAAACGTCAGAGCACAAAGCATATCTCCGATTAATTTAGACTGTGATTCACTGAAGCGGCAAAACTGGTCTTGTATCACAACTCTTATACAATCACTTGGTCTCAGTCAAATGGCCTGGTATGTAAAATGAAAATTGAAATTAGGGCTGGGCAATATATTGAATATTTGTGATGATTTTGTTGGCAACAGTGTTTTTCATGCCTTGTATTTGATTATTTAGTTTAGCATGCTTTATCTTGCATCTCTGATTTAAACTTCAGTAGCAAAAACAGAGTCACTTAGTTTGATTTGTTCATAATTCTGAAATTCAGAGATGTTCAAGGAAGTCCCTGTGAGACATTTTTCTTTTATTCAAATATTTTAGTTAAAATACGTAACTAAAATGTTAATTCCCTGGTGTTTTTATATTGGTGACTATTGTGAACTTGATTTAAAAAATTTTACTTTTCATAAAATTTTTGCATTAGGTTGGAATTAAGTTTCCTCTCCATTTTAGAACAAAATATTATAAGGTGTATATATCTGTCCTTTCCCACTGCATCTGCTGTAGACATAAGTCCTTGTTTAACTCAGTTCAGTGCTGCACTTTCTTCTTTTAGATTCCTCTGTCAGGTAATTAAGTGGTAATCAATAGCAATAATGTACTGTTCTCTAAATTCACGCTTAATTGTAGTAGCTTAAGGACTTAAAGCATAGGATTAATTGTTAAATGTGTCTCAAGATGCTAGCTTGATCTCTGGAGTGTGATCTCCCATCCTGTAATTGAGTTCAGATTGATTTAATACAAGCATACATACACTCAATGTGACGTTTTATCTTCAGACAATTTATGTTTGCTATTGATTTCATTTTACAAATACGACGGAATCGAATGTGACAAGTGAATGTTGTTTAGTGTAGTTATTAGTCAAAAAGTCAACAAATTTGAATTTCTTAATATTGTTTAGTATTGGTATTCTGTCATGTAATGTCCTTAAAATTCATTCCTACTCGGCAAATGAAAGAGGTGTTTTCCATTATTACAAAATTAATCACAAACTCAAGCATTTTATCAGCATTATGCAATAAGCAGAGATTCACAAATAAACAAATTGAAAACCATTCTTTCTAGGACCAGTCAGTGGCTTTTCATCTCACCCTAAACATGTGTAAACACTCCTGACTGGCTGACCTCAGAACAGGCTGTGAAACCACCAGAGAAGTGAAGCGCTTTCAATGTCCCGCTCTGGGATTATGCAACTCTGAATGACTCTCTTACACAACCTCCCAGCAGCCATTGATACAAATCTAGCACTGCTATGTATGTTTATATATATATATATATATACACACACACATACACGTACAGTAGTAAGTGTTGTATGTGTCACTGTGATGTAAAACAGTATGATATGCAAGCTAGGCTGCATTTTACCATTGAGCGTGTTGCGGTGTGGTGAGCTAAATCAAGCATTTAAGGCTTTGCTGGTTAGCATAAACAGTCAGTCCCTGCAAAGCCATTCAGAATATGTAAAATATGTAACACTTATATTTTTCATTGTCTTGTCAGTTGCCTTCATGTCAATTCAGGAAGATTGTTGGTGAACAGCTTGAGGCTCTGCATGTTTTTTGTGGTGCTATCAGTGTTGTCAAACATATGAATTGATATAAATAATAATTCAATAATAATTAAATTAATTTACATTTTATGTTTGAATTAATTTTAAAATTAATAATTATTAAATTGTTTAAAATAACTAATTTAATAATACACAAAAAAACTAATTAACAAATTAAATCACAAAATCAAACTTATTTTAAATTAAAAGTACTTTTTCAATTATTTAATTATTTAAATTCATTCATATGCTTGACAACAATACATAATTGTATTTTTGATGCAAATTTGCAACTATCCATAGACTATCATTGTCAGATCAATACGCGTTTTTGTTTTCTTTTTTACTAAGGGAGAAGTGAAAATAATTTTGTTTCAAGTTGTAGTAAACCTGGGAATTTCTTAAGGAATAACTAGCTGTATTGGTCCAGATGGTATGTGACCTGAACTTAATACAATGAGTTATCTTCTCATTGTCCTAGATCTGGTTGTGCCATCTGCATGTTAGCCTTGCATCTCACAGTGACTCATATCATCACAGCTGTAAAAGCTTTTAACTATGTAAAGTATTTGTCTGAATAGCAGAGTAAGCGTTGTACCACTCTGATAAGCTATGGCTCATTTGTTTACACCTCACTTAGCTCTATTACATAAATAATATAGGTTAAACCATCAGAATTATGCTTAAACATTCTTCAAACTTAGTTAGAGAGAGCCAGACAGAGAGAGATTTAGAATTCAGCAGGATGTTTTCACGAGATTTTGAAATTGATCCCTTGGGGGTTTGATGGCTGAGAGTCCATAATGCCAAGCCCTGTTGCATAATTCAAACGTTCCTACTCCATAATCCCCAAACGCCTTTTAGACTGTCAGCTAAAAATAGACCAAACAAACAGAGGGTGACATTCAATATTGACCTGGTTCCATAAGTGATGTACTGCCAACCAGAGCTTTTAGGCCTGGCTTCCCTGTGGCTGAGTACTGTCATATACTCATGTGCTCAACATGCTCTAAAGCTGCTCGATTGCAAAATGAGGCAAGATGGGCTGAATGTGCTGAGCAGCTGTTTAGATGGGAACACAAGACGATGATGCATCTGCCAGGGCAGCAGATGGATCAGTGAGTGATATAATACTGACAAATTTAGACACATTACGAGAAACCGCATGGCACTCTTATGGGTAAAAAAGTCACTCAGATAGATTGTTTAGTCTAAACCAGCTGTGAAAGTAACTGACAATAACAATGTGTTTGGCTTGAATTTGGAAAAATCCAGGGTTACACTTTATTTCGATAGTCCACTTTAGATATTCTATTAACTATAAGTAACTTTGTAACTACATGTCAACTAATTATCATTAATTTGCAACTACATGTCTAGTAACTCTCAGACTAGACTGTTAGGGTAGGTTTAGGGTTAGTAGAATAAGTTGACAAAGAAAGTGTTAGAAGATAGTCTTAAGTGTTAAGCAGACAGTCTACTAATACTCGACTAACTGCTAGTTGACATGTAGTTGCAAAGTTACTTACTGTTAATAGAATGTCTAAATTCCTCGTATGTGTAAACATACCTGGCAATAAAGCTCATTCTGATTCTGATTCTGATTCTGATAAAGACTGGTGAGTTGTAACTGACCTGGGCCAAGCTTGGCAACTGCATAAAGCAGGTCGTAGTTAATAACTGGTGTGGCCTCGTCAATCTGTTGCCAGCCAACTGGAGGTGAGCCAGGAGGAGAGATGAGGAACTGTTTGGAAGGCTGGGGAGGAGCGAGGTGCAAATTGTCTCCTTCGGATGCTGGGTTCTGCACCTGAGAGCCAGAGAGTGTTAGTCCAGGATGCAGTCGAACAAAGACCTAACACTTGATAATCTAACCAGATGTTTCTGAAGTAGTCATTAGCAAATATGTGCTAGTACTACATGTTCAAAATCTGAGGACTTTGTTTTTTGAACATTCTGCATAAACAGTTTTCAATATTCTATATTTAATTTAGAATGAATTTTAAAAAGAATTTAACAATTGGTTCCCATTCAGTTCATGAGTCTGTCTGTCTGTCTGTCTGTCTATCTATCTTAAAGTGGACTATCGAAATAAAGTGTTACCAAATCCAGTCCCGCAGATAAAGGCTGATGGATTCAGAGCAATTCTGAGCTGATGGCTGGGATTGTCTAGTATTATTGGAAATCGGCAGAGAGCAGAAATTCAGTCTGCGTCGTTTATACAAGGTCATTGGCATGGGCCTGTTGATACGGCTTTGATGGAGAAGAATGATATTCATGAGGCAAGAGTCAATGATGGCAGATCTGCCTGTGCTGATGCATTATACAGGACTGATATGGTCAAAGCATGTCTGCAGAAAGCTCTCTCTCTGGCCTCTTCTATATCGTATCATCTTCTTGCTCTTTCTTTACTGCAAAATCCTATTCTTAACGAGTATTTTGTCTTATTTTCTTGTCAAAATGTCCTTGAAGTGAGATAAATTTACTTGAGAAGCAACACAAAATATTTAGATATTTACATTTTGTAATATGAGTGCACATTATTTTGTCTTATTGCACTGGCAGGTATAAACACGTTTAAAACATGGAAAAAAATATGCCAGTCCACAGTAAGACAAAATAAAAAAAAACTCATTAAGAAGTCACTTTTGCAGTGTAGCATGTGCAATAGATTAATTAATTTATACAACTTGAAATGTTAAAATATATATGTAGAAATTAACATTTTGTAAAATTGAACTAAAATGTGTTAGTTCACATTAACTATTGCATTATCTAGGCTAATGTTAACATAGAGAAGCTTATTGTAAAGTGTTTCCTGTATTACTTGGCTTATTAGACAACACCATGTTGGTTATATCATGAAATTATCATCTGCTACCATAGTACCACCACAGTGTTTTTTTGTAAGCGTAAAGTAGTGGTGGACAATGGAAAGACAAGGACAAAGATGATTTATGGCTAACCTAACTACAGAGTTACATAACGTTATGGAAGAACTGTCATCATCTGATCAATTTAATACATGATGCTATAAAAAACCCTTACAGAAAATTCATGGTAGCCCATTAATTGGGAACTGGAGATGCCCAGAACCACTGAAAAGGTCACCCAGCAGTGCTTTGTAATGTGCTTATTTACTCCAAGATGGCTGAGCTGTTCCCATGAGAGCCAGGGCACTCACAGGCCCACTGTATGAAAGTGTGTGTGGTCCATACCAAACATAGCCCCCGTCTGCACTGTCAAACACCCACATAAACAGAAGCATCTACACGGCAGCTTTAATCAAAACACATTACAGCTCCAGAAGCACTGACTACAGTAACTGCTCATCAGGGCACAGTGGGAGTCGCTCACACACATACACATCCCTGAAGGTCAGCCGAAGAAGAGTGTGCATTGATTAGGAGCAGGATGGTGGACGTAATCACCTGCACTGCAGTGAAGAGGACAATTCAATGGCTAACCGAGTGAGTAATGAATGTGCTTGATTTGAGAGGATAAGGATTTGTAGCATGCTACGTGACGTCCCAGCACGAAAGCCTGAACTTCAGAGTTCAGGTGTGTGTAAGACCTTTCATACCAGTGCATGATGATCTGGGATAATGGCAAAGTTTGAGACTTGCTGTAAGATGGCGCCGACGCTGATGGCTGCCTCCGTGGCGTGCTCCTATCTGTCTATCTATCGAACTGTTCTATCTATCTATCTATCTATCTATCTATCCGTCTATCTGTCCGTCTATCTGTCTATCTATCGAACTGTTCTATCTATCTATCTATCTATCTATTCATCTATCTATAAAGTCTAAAATCTTTCAACTTTACCACTTTTTAAAAAAAATTTAAATGTTCAGAAAAGGCTATATAAAATTTAGTCATATGAATGTATTTGAATTTCAGTTCATTTTAATTCAACATCCTTACATATGCATTTGAATTGCAGTTCTGTATCCTGTTACTCAACTTGGTTCCGAAATGCAAACAACCCCGCAGTACACTGCACTCATATTCAAGATGTCCTTCATTTGAACCCTCATTTTGCAACAACCATGTCAACTTGATTTGGGCAGTTACTCTGGTGAGCGGCTAATACCAACTATCAGAATGCATCTATTTCAGAGCTGTCTGCTCCAGCCAGTGGATTCTGCCTTACTAGAGTTGTCTAATCCTGAATATGAGTTCATTTCCCGCTTACTGAGAAAGATTAGAGACCCTGACATGATTTGTGGAAAGATTACGCTAAACATGGTGTATGATCAAATGCTAACTGCTCTGTGACTGTCTGTGTATAAAGGACTCCCTAATGTCTCGGTATCTTTCTATTGTTCTATAGTTCATTCTATCAAAACTTTTTTAAATGTTCAAGCATGGCACTATAAAAGTTTGTTTTGTCTTTTCTAGTAATTTTTGATTCCATGTGGTGCAGAGAAATTACACTCTTTGAGCAGCATAGTATTGAAATATACTTGTTTAATCAAATCTCGATTCAGATCTAATCAAGCAGAAACATGATATTACTTGACGAATGCTTAGTTTGTATGTTAACCTGTTGTTCTGCGTGTCACTTCTAAATGTACTTTTTTCTGAACTATACCCTGCTTAGGAATACAAAGATTACAGAAATTTTGGGCAACCTAAGCCACTTCTCACCTGGGCAAAATAGAGTTTAAGTTTCTTTCCTCTGAAAGGTGTCTCGTGCAGCTCTATTCTAGCACTGGCTGCTGCTTTGGGGTTACTAAAATTGATTCGTACACGTCGGAAGCTCTTAAACTGCTGGAACGTCACACCCTCATCATACGCGAGAAAGAGCGCCTCGAACATTTCCTGAAAGACAAAAAAATAAACAAGGTAAATTAACAAGGGATAAATATTTCAATTCTGTCCTGGCAAATGTCAAAGCATGAATAAATCATATGTCTTCATAGAGGACAAAGAAAGTTGAGCAGCAATGCTTTTTTTTTTTTTTTTTACTGTGGCAGAAATAAGCAAGACCTGTTCCACCTATATCAATCTTATCAGGGCCATGAGAGAATGACTGCGAGTAATGTCAGCATAACGCTGACAGGATGAACGTCATTGTATTCTTTATGAGACAGAGCAGTCTTTGGACTAGGCATGCCCCAAAGAACATCCAATCAGCTCAGCCAGAACTGGAATGCCTGAGTCTACTTAATATTCATTTGTGCAGGAGAGGAACTGATGAAAGCAATTTTATGTCTCTCAATTCAGTAATCAGTCCTGCTGGGTCTGGGTAACTCATAGCACTCTCAGCCTCATGTATTAAAGAGAGGACTTTCCCAAATCAAATGTATGTACCTGCATTCTAACCTTCTCCATGAGGACTTAGGTATAGTTCACCCCAAAATGAAAATTCTGTCATAATTTAATTTATAATTCTGGCCTTCCTGTAGTTCTAACAGTAGAGCATGGTGCTAGCATGACCAGGTCATGGTTTTGATTCCTAGGAAAAGCAGGAATTGATAAAAATGCATACCTTGAATGCAATATAATTCACTTTGGATAAATGTGTCTGCCAAATACATACATTTACATTTAAAAAAAATTTAATTTAACCCTCACGTTTACTCAAACCTGCATTAATTTCTTTCTTGCTTTATATATAATAAAAATTTTTTTGAAAAATGTTCTTCAAAACGAAGATCACAAAAGAAAGTCACACACAGATTTAGAACAAAATGAGGGTGAGTAAGTGATGACAAAATTTACATTTTTGGGTGGACTATCCCTTTAAAACATTATACTTATTGTTTTTGTTGTGATATAATGATAATTCACTTTGGATAAATGTGTCTGCCAAATACATACATTTACATTTAAAAAATTTTTAATTTAACCCTCACGTTTACTCAAACCTGCATTAATTTCTTTCTTGCTTTATATATAATAAAATTTTTTTTGAAAAATGTTCTTCAAAACGAAGATCACAAAAGAAAGTCACACACAGATTTAGAACAAAATGAGGGTGAGTAAGTGATGACAAAATTTACATTTTTGGGTGGACTATCCCTTTAAAACATTATACTTATTGTTTTTGTTGTGATATAATAGCTTCTTATTAATTTTCATTGCTTTAGAAGACCTCTGAAGATTTTATTTGTAACCTTAGAGGTGAGGTGTGTAATTTCAGTCACTAGCAGCAAAATTGCAAACAAACAAATAAATAAATAACAAGTTTATGTTTTAAAGCAGGTTTCACAAACCCCTTCCATCTTAATGAATGACTTTAAATGGGATAGGAAAAAGTACTTTAACGAAAGTTTTAAAGCCGTTTAAATGGCATATTAAATACGTAAAAGCACACTGTTATGAAACACTCCTTCAGAGTAGCATCTGAAACAGGATTGCTGGAGTAGAAACACCTTAGACTGATTAGTATCCCCCCCCTCAAAAACGTCATCAAATGTGCGTAGGCTATCACCTCAGGTATTTGAGGTAAGTGAGGTATTTAATTACATTATTTTCAGAGACCTGTTAAAACGGCTAATGTCTCAGTGTTGGGTTTGTTTTGCCTTTTAAAGGCATAGCACATAAGCACTTGGAAGTGAAGCCAATTTGTACACCAAAAATAGGTATTCAACATGAAACCCTCAAATATGCCCTTAAATTCTAGCCAACTGCTGGTGAAACACTTCAATATGACGACAAACAATAATCTAAAATGTGAAACACCTAACACAGGAAACATGGGACATTATGTCAGGTCTAAGAGATGTGCTTTGTTTGTAATAGAAATCAAGTTCAGGTAGAGATCGTGACATCACTGTCACATACAGTAGGATGATATGATGTAGAAGTTAAAGATGATAGAAGTTAAGGTTTGTGACCAGAAAGTTCCTGGATTGATGTCCTTGAAGGTTGCCCTATAAGTCACGAGTCTCAAACTCCCGGCGAATACTTGCAAATAGTTTATACGAAATAAATATCTAGTCTTCAAATCTTTTTTTTCTTCCATGCTGCTCGTTATACATATTTTTATTTTCATGTAGCTCAAATGTAATTATATATTAAGACTGCATGCTCCAATATTACTGCTGTTATTTTTGATCAAATAATGCAGCCTTGGTGAGCATAAGGCTCTTACTGACTCCAAACATTTGAACAGTAGTGTATATGTGAATTTATTGCTATCTATCTATATATATATTCCTGACCATTACATCAAAGCCAGATCATGATGTTACTGGTCTCTTAATGGGACTGATAGCTGCCTGATTTACAAGGAGCAGCTGTATAACTGTGTAGTTAAAATGTATGGTTGTAAGAGCACTTGTATTTGTTGAAGCTTTGCAACTAGTCCCAGTTAACTTTGAAGACTGCTGCTTTAAGGGAGGCATCTTCTGATAAGTGTACAGTTGCTTTTGATAAAAACATCTATAAATTACTCTTACTGTCAGTCACCAGAGGTTTTGCTCAATGCTTCACAATACACAGAATCTTAAGTTGTCACTTTTAGCATCAGGAAATAGTGAATGTGCTCGATAAAAATGTCCAGAGACGGGGGAAGATGAAAGATTAGAGCCACTCGCTGGTACTCTCCTGCAGAGACAGATGAGACAGTTTTCTTCCACAGCGTTAATGCGCCAAACACCTTGTATCCTGTCACAATCTGTGAGAAACCTCCAGCATATTCCTTCATCTCAGAGCCAAGAGAGAGCGTCCCTAGAGATGACAGCTGTGTATATGTTGTGTCCACCATGTGTCAGGATGTGAGGTGTGTATCAGCAGTGACAGCTGGACCCATTCTGAATGACTCCGCAATGACAGGTGACACCAGATGAGTCCATGAGAGAGTTGCAGTGCATATGTGCACATTTTCTATACTCCAGGTTTCTGACTCAGCACTTCCCTGAAGTTTTACAAGATGTCAAGTGCGTCCAGAGCTAATTATAGAACAAGAACTTGATGGTGTGTGAATTGCAGATCAAAGCACATTCGTCTGATCCGCTGCACCTTGAAATGAGATCATTTACTACCATCACAGTACTGATGGTCACCAGCATTGGATGCTGGTGTCCCTATAGGCATCTTAACTGTCTTAATTAGAGTCATCCAGCTTCATGATGGTCTTTTTAGCAAGGCAGTCAGACATTTCCCAATTTTTGTTGTGAGAAATGGCTTTGCATATAAGCTGCATTTTCAGTGGCACAATGTACTGTAAAGGACATTCAGGTTCGTTCACAATTTAGACCAGGTTTAGTTCTCCAAGTATCCTTTAGCAACAAGTTCAAATATGCCTAATGTAACACAACAGCAAATTTGAACTAGATTTTTATAATTTGTGGGTCATATGTTTGTATGGGTGGTGTTTGCCCATGCTGTCCACTGCCAAAGTTCAAATGGCAGCGCAGCGTGAGCTTACTAGAGCAGATGCGTTTTTCAAGTCTCAGTCATACGACACTAAACAGCACTGTGAGATCCAGTGTGAAGCTCCTGAATTCAGCGAATCGATGATTTAAACTAGTTTAAGGCCAGATAAAACAGCGCTAACAAACAGGAGAAACACTGTGCACAACGATAGTCAGACGGCTTTTCAATCTACAAATCACCATCATTTACCATGGATTTACTGTAACACTAACTGCACCATGGTATTGTGGCAGAAATGTGGGATATTCATATGGAATTTTATTATATTATTAATGTAGACATGTATTAAAGGAGTAATGAAGTAAATTAAAGTATTTTTTTGTGATTAAGCTATAGCGTTTGTGCATTTATACTAAATGTATTTACACTACTATTTTACATACAAATACCTAGAAACCATATAGTTACATTTTTACTATGATATTGAGGTGCTATATGTGTGCTTTTAACTAGTTATCATGACCTAGATGTATGCCACTATGGAAGACCAGTGGATGATTTTAATAAAACTCAAAACTGTCAGAAGAATTCAATTTCACCATATAAAAATGAGGTTGTTACAATTAGAAAAGTAAAAACATGTTGCACAATTTTAAATATTATTCTTGTCCTTAGCACAAACAGTGCAGGAAAGTGAGGTACAAGCCAAAGTTGAACACTTACAGTTAGGGGTTTGATCAAATCACCCTAAGTATAAGCAATAAAAATTGTGATGTTTGCATTAGCAAACACCAAAAATATACAACATCTAAACCACAGCTATGGAATGTGTTTGAAAATAAACCCTGATTCCAAAAAAATATTTGAGGCCTAATATACAAATTAATAAACAAAAACTTAATATTTTAAATAGGCATAAGGTGATGGAGGTAAATATAGCTGAAGTATTATTGTACTTTACTGCCATGGGTTACATGGTGTTGTTGCTTTTTGAGAGCCTTCAGCGGACATTTCAAAGCTAAGTATTTGTAGTGGAAATAAATCACATTCCTTTACAATTATGGACACCAAGATGAAGGGAGGAGGATGAAGGGTCATGTGCAGTGGAATTTTTGCCACTGGTTTTCTAAAAATATTACTTTATCTAATCATAATAAGATCTGTGGAATGGTAGACTTAAAATTTTCCTAAAGAATTGTATTAACACCAGAACTTTTGACGCATAGGCTAGTAGTTTTTCCATTCACAGTACATTAATCACACACACACACACATATATGGAGCCTATAAAATTGGACATTAGCAAATCGACAGGTCTGGTCTTCATTTACCACCACCTTGAAACACATCATTTAAAAAGAGCAACAGCAGTTGGCATTAAGTGCCCTCATTTAAAGTGGTGGAAATGAGCATAGATTCCATCTGGTATTTGCTAGTATAAATGTCATGAGAATAATGTTGTAAGAGAAAGTCATCATGATTGCTATGGAGCTCAG